GATGCTAGGGTTATTTCTCCATTTTTATTTGTGATTAACTTTTATTTTCAGTGTGTCGTGACAACAGTTACTATTTCTCTCCTCTTGACTTTGTGGAGGTATGTTTTGTATCCAAGCATGTGGTCAGTCTTGGAGAATATGTATTCATCTTTTTGTGGATGAAAAGCCCTATTTATACCTACTAAACTCCTCTTTTCATTTCTTCCTTAGAAGTGACTATTTCTTTACTAAGCTTTAATCTTGTTGATCTATGGAGAGGTTGTTGAAGCAGAGCAGTGTTGAAATTTCCAACTACTATTGTGTTACTATTAATGTCTTTTTTTAAGTCTATTAACAGTTGTTTTCAGCATTTTGCTGGTCCTCTATTAGGTGAATATAGTTTTAGGAGTGTGAGTTTTTCCTGCTCTAAATATTCCTTCATCATTAAGGAATGACCCTTGCTCAATCTTACAAACTTTTTGAGACTGAAGTCTTTGTTGTCTGATAGTAGTATGGCTACCTTGGTTGGCCTCTTTGTGGAGGTTTTCTTGAAGAATTGTCTTCCAATCTTTGACTTTAAGTCTGTGTTTTCTCTGTTTTTCAAAACATTTGAAAAACATTCAAATGTTTTTCTTGCAGGCAGCATAAAGTTGGGTTCAGGTTTCTAATCCATCCTGCCTCTCTGTGTCTCTTAATTAGAACATTTAACCCGCTGACATTGAGAAATATTATAGTCATAGAGTTCTGTGCCATCTTTCTGTAGGAGCTTGGCATGTTAGTGGGACTCGTCTTAAAGTAGTCTCTTTAATTCTTTTTTATAAAGACAGTTTTGAGTCTATGAAATCTCTGAGCTGTTGTTTATCTGTGAAGTTGTGTATCATTCCTTCAAATCTGAAGAGAGTCTGGTCAGGTAAAATATTCTTGGTGAGGTATCCATTTTATTGATTTTTGTTTGTTTGTTTGATTTTTAGCACAGCAGTAGGGTGTTTGCTTTTCATGCGGCCGGCCCGGCTGACCTGATTTGATTCCTCTGCCCCTCTCAGAAAGCCCGACAAGCTACAGAGTGTATCTCGCCTGCTCGGCAAAGCCTGGCAAGCAATCCATGACGTATTCTATATGCCAAACACAGTAACAACAAGTCTCATAATGGAGACATTACTGGGCCCACTCAAGCAAATTGATGAACAATGGGAGGAAAGTGCTACAGTGCTACAGTTTGATTTTGTTTTTTACTTTATCCCACCATTGTCTTTGGACTGGAGGGTTTCATTTATAAGTCAGCTGTAATCTAAAGGACACTCCTTTGTATGTAATTCCTTCTTTCATCTTGCTGCTGTCAGCACTCTATCACTATCTGTGGTTTTTGTCATTCTGATTAGGATGTGTCTTGGAGTATTTTTATTGGATCTCTTTTAGCTAGTATCATTTGGGCCTCCTGGATGTGTTTCCATGTGCTCTTCAACTCTGGGAATTTCTCAGCAATGATGTCTTTGACTGTTTGTTAGCTTCTTCATCAAGGTTACCTTCCCTCTGGGACTCAGATGATTCTTACGTTGTTCCTCTTGAATTCAACCCAATACTCTCTTATCAGCTGCTTGTTTATGTATTTTTTATCTTCTGCTTTTGTCTGGAGGTTTCTGAACCTTTTCCTGGAGCTTACTGATTCAGTCCTCCACAGCTGTTATTCTGCTGGTGAGGCCTTCCAGTGAGTTTTTCATTTGAGCTACCAAGTTTTTCAGTTCTGTCATTTTCTGTTTGTAGTTCTCTCATTTCTGCTTGCATATCCTATTATGTTTTATTGGCTGTCTGTTCTATTGTTTCTTTGAGTTCATTAAATATCTAAGCATTTTCCCTTTGAATTTCTTTTCAGAGAGATTATATAGGTGGATATTCTGATTGAGTTCTTAGAATTATAATCTTTGCACACTGCACATAGTATGGTTCTGCCCTGCTTTAATATGGTTTCTTTTGTAGACTCGTGGTATGTCTTTTCTGCTTCAATTTCAGTGTCTTCCACACTGCCAGGGAGATCATAGTAGGAGCTCTATTGAGGTGGAGAGATGAACTTGCAGCTGCATTAGTAATGGATGGATCACTGTGCTCCTTTCTGAGCTGTGAGTGGAGCCAGCTTCCTGGCATGGCTGCTTGGTGTTTGACCTCCAGAATTCTTAAAGTTTCTTGAAGTCTAGAATTTTATCACCAGTAACAAATATTGTCAGTTGTTTACTCTATATTGCAACTTCACTTCTCATTTTTGAGAAAGTATGGTAAATAGTATGAGTAACTTAGTTTGTCTGTGAATTACACTTTCTTGTAAAAATGTTGAATTAAATGCTTTGATATGTTAAGTAAGTGCTATTTTATTGCATGGATTAGTAAAAAGATGTGTCTAAAGATCAAGTATAATGATACTTTATTTTTTTAACTTTTTCATGAGGGCATTATTAATTGAAAATGCCTTTATGTTTTCAAATGCAAATATGAATGGTGAAGATAACAATAAATGATATTTGGTTTTACTGCATGTGTCAAGGTATTTTCTCCTGGCTGAAATTTAAAAAATTTTAAAAGCCAGACAGTGCTTCTAGCATTTACCTGAAATAGGATCCTCAGAGTTTAGTTTGTGTTGATTCTGGGCATGCATAAGCAAAACAGCAACACTTGTAAATTTATTCATTCATAAAACAAAAGTGTAAGTCTGCAAAGGTAGCAACTCAATCTTCACATTTCTCCTAAAGCTTTAATTCAGTAGACTCTGTATTGTTAGGAAGAAGTAGTGCCATGAATTCACTTATTGACTTTCCATCCAGCAGGCATTCAGCAATTCAACTTGGGCTTCTTAACTCTCAGTTCTTGTGTACTCCTTCCACTAATGCAAAGTAATGACTTACTTCTAGAAGCACAAGGACATAATGCAGAGCCCAGCAGCTTGCAGCAGAAAAGTGAATGGACTATGCCTTAAACCACGGTACCATGACTGCCTGGGAGGGAAGGGATGTCGCTCCCTTCCACCATTTTCCCCCTGGGCAGAAAGATGGTAGTCTCCTCAGAGCTATTTGGAAAGCCAGGCATGAGCCGGCAGTGACGGGGCAACTGAAACCTCATGGGAAGGGGGACGTTCCTGGCTCATCCTTTATGCCCTACTGAGGTCACGAATTGCCTCCCACGAGCGGCTCTTCAGCATGGCCATGGCTCCAGAGCCACAGAAACCAATCTCGTAATTATCTGGCTCTTGGTAGAAATACCTCCAGGCTTATTAAGTAAAATATCAGAAATTCAAATTCGCGCAGCCGCTATCACAGCTGCTCAACATCGTGTGGTTCTCATAACTAACTGTATCAGTATCACGGTATCATGGTCCTCCTGCTATTCATCGATTTGCTCGAGCGGGCCCAGTAAATGTCTCCATCATGAGACTTGTTGTTACTGTGTTTGGCATATCGAGTACGAACTATAAACTAACTGTAGAAAACAAATTATTTCAAAATGCCTTTTCAACAGTTCTGATTGTTGGGTGTAAACTCTAAACAATAATGGTGCATCTTTTGTCTAAATAATGAATGGAATCAAAGTAGATAGAGTGTTAACTAGAATTCATCTGCCTCACAGGCATTGGGAGGGGGGAAGAGAGGGGAGTATATTGGGGATGAAAAATAAGTACTGGTGAAGGGAACTGTGTCTGATCATTGCATGACCGAGACTTAAACCTGAAAGCTTTGTAACTTTTCCCACAGTGATTCAATAAATAAATAAATTAAATTAAAAAAGTAATGACTTACCTTATCAGATACTACAGTGACTTTAACATTTCTAGTTCAAAAAGCTGTAGTAACAAGTTTTTGATTTAAAATTTTTAAAAATTTCTTTAAATTCTGAAAGACTGGGTTTAAAATGAAGTTTCAATGTAACTTATCAAAATACCATTCAGAAATGTTCAAAACACAGTAAGTAAGCTATTATCATCAGTAAAATGGAAGGATTGTTTATTTCATGTATTCTGGTCTCTTTTGCTCCTCTCTTTGTTTTATAATTCCTCCTCTTTTCTTTGAAATGAATTTGATCCTTTAGCCAAACACAGTAACAAGTCTCACAATATTCCTAGGCCCACTCGAGCAAATCAATGAAAACTGGGAGGACAGTGACAGTGACTTACTTTAGGGGACTTCCTGATAGTCAATTTCAGCTTTCTTCTTTTTTTTTTTTGTCATAGGCTGCAGCTATAGACTGATAAAGCAAGTTCTCCAATTTCCACTTTTTTTTTATTGTGGTAAAATAGTTAATATGAAATTTACCATTGTAACCAGTTTTAAGTGTACACCACCCATCTTCAGAGAGCTTTTCCTCTTGTAAAACTGAAATTTTAGCTATTACATAATTATTCCCAGATCTTCCTCTTGCCTCAGCCCATGGCATCTACCAATTTACTTTCTGTCTTTGTAAATTGCACTACTTTAGGCATCTCATATAAACGAACTCATAGAATATTTGTCCTTTAGTGATTAGATTATTTCACTTAATATAATGTTCTTAGAGTGTTCCATGTTTCAGTTGTATCAGCATTTCTTTTCAGGGCTCACTCAACAATTCTTCATTATATAAATATACCACATTTTTATATATCCATTAATAAACATATAGTCAATTACTTCTACCTGTTGGCTATTGTGAATAATCCTAATTTGAATATGGATATGCATTAATTCTTTAGATAGCTACCAGAACTCAGATAGCTTGATTGGTGGGGGAGGTATCACCAACTTTGGAAAACGCTGGTTTAAGTGTTTGCTTTCATTGGACATTTTCTATTCCCTTGCATTATTTCTTTATATACTACCTCTGAGTGAAATTGTCTTGTGTTTTCTTTCTCCTTCTGACTTATTTCACTTTACACAAGATTCACCAGTTTAATTTATGTTATGGCAAAATATAAGATTGCATCTTTTTTAATATCTGCATTGTATTGCATTGTGCATATATGTACCACTCTGTTACTGGGAACATGGGTTTTCTCTTTTTACAGAAAAAAAATTTGCTAAAATGCCATAAAGTAAGTGGCAGTTCCTTAAGTGTACACATGTTGCACGCCAAAACTTCTTCCGCCATTGTCAAGGGGAGCACTGTTTTCCTTTCATACAACTTTAAAAACAATTATTTTAGGAGTTGCTGTACTGTTTAGTGACTGCACCATGTTATCATTTTTTTTCAATTTTTCTGCATTCAGATCAACATTTGTTGCTTTTTACTTCTTTGTTAGCAAATTTATTTTTGGTTGTCAGAGAAATAGTACAGTGGGTAAGTCACTTGCTCTGCATTCACCTGCCTTGGGTTCAATCTTTGACACTGCGTGTGATCCCTGAGTACTAAGACAGGAGGAAACTCTGAGCACTGCCATGTTTGGTCCAAAAGTTTAAAAACAACTGGAAGTGGTAACCTCCCAGTTGGTGCTCAGGTACTTAAGGGGCTACTTCTGGCTATTCTCAGCTTACCAGGCTATGTTTCTTTTGCTAGGGGCTGAGGATTTAGTGCTTCCCTGACCCTGAAGTGTTGGAGATCACCAGCATCACCATAGTAGTTTTGGGTGCCTCCAGGGCTACACTCAGTAATGCTCAGGAAATTCTGTTGTGCCAGAAATTGAACCCCTATATTATATCTCCAGCTCACTTTTACTTTTTCTTAAATAGTTGCATGTTCCTCTAGTGATTAATGAATATTCTTTCAGGTGGGTTATTGATCCTTTGTGTACCCAAAGACATGTCTGTCCTACTCCTTTGCCTAGATGGATTGACTGGTTCTTGTTAATCTTTCCAATTCAATGAATCAACAAGAGACTAGTGGATAAAGAAATTGTGATATATATTTACACATAATATATATCACATATATATGTATAGATAAGCACAGAATGGAATACTATTTGGTTATGAGAAAAATATGAAATTTTATTTGAAGAGTGTTGTGCTAAGAGGAGCCCAAAAGAAAAAGGCCAAATGAATCTGTTTATACACAGACTAAAGAAATATGAAGAAAGGAATTAGAAAATCCCCATGAAACAAACCCTGAGATACTTGCAACAGAACTGGGGACTGAGGAAGGTAAAGGGTGAGAGTGGGGAGAGACCACGGGCAATGGTGGAAGGAATCTTGAAACACTGGGGAGGGATTGTTATAATAGCTCTGTAATTATAAAACAATGGCGTTATTAGTTTTATAAAGAATAATATTACACTTAAAATAAGCATTTTACAGAAAATTGAAACAAATATGAAAATCTCAAGAATTGGGGTCAGAGTAATAGTACAGAGGGTAGGGAGTTTGCCTTGCATAGGCGAGATCAGAGTTCAATCCCCACACCACATCTGATCCCCAGAGTCCCACCAGCAGAGACTTCTGAGCACAGAACAGGAACAGGCTCTGCGCACCCCAGATGTGGCCCAACCCCCCCGCCCCAATCCTTCAAGAATTATTTTGTGTGCTTTTGTAAAATAAAACAAAAATATCCTTATTCTTGTGTGCTTGGGTTGAGTACATTTTGGAATTTAAGAATGAACATATAATTGGATGATAAAAATTGAAAGTTTTTATATGTTATAGCAATTATAAGTGAAGACAGCTTCAGTAAGTACAGAAGAAGTTTAGGGATGAAACTGAGTTAATCTCTGGAAATGCACTTTTATTTCCTAAACCTTTTGTATAAGTGATTTTTAAAATATAAAATTATGCACACTCATTGATCATTAAATCAACCAATGCTTTCCTATATCATGAGGTTCTTCAGAAACACATTAGGTACTCATAAAATAATGTAGTGAAAAAATACTATGATTATAAAAATACTTTTGAGTTTACATACCCCTGTGAAGGTGTTTTAGGAAATCTCCAGAGTTCTCAGGCACATAATTGAGAAACAGTTTTCTAGATTATCTGCCTAGAAATAATCTAGGGGGAAAAAATCCCTCTGTTGTATAGTTTTTATCTGTTCATTCTTGCAATACCAGTAACAGAATAAATATTTCTCATCCTCTCCCATATTTGTGTGGTTAGTTTGGGTTCTCTCATGAGTAAATGGCAGTATAGGATAATTACAAGATATGTTAGGAAACATAAAATAAAAGGTGAATTGAGAAAGGAAAGAACATTTGGACTATGTTGAAGATTTGGTAGCTGTGGAGGAGCAGTGGAAGGCTGAGGCTTAAGTTGGAAAACTCTTACCCTCTGAATAGTTTGAGGAAGCTTTTGCCAGAGTGACAGGAAGTCCCTGAGCCAATGCTGTATCAAGATTTCTGTTGTCAGAGGAATGAGCTTGCATCAGCACCTCTTCTATGTTCAGTCTTTGGCTGGCAGATGCATAGGAAGCTTGTCCTTCATGGATTCTAAGGGTCACCAACTAGGCTATCACTCAGTTATGTGCCACACAGATGAGATCTTGAACATTTAATTACCTCCAACCACTTTATTTGCATTTAGTTGGGTTAAAGATTCTATTCTGTAATATCTTTCTGCACTCCCTGTTTTACAAATTTTCTTTTTACTCCCACAGATTTCTATATTGTCATTTTCTTATAAATTCATGAGGGCTTTGTGTAAAAATTATTAGTTTTGTGTTTTATTATGTTTGTTGGAAATATTTACCATTTCTCTTTAGATTTTTCACATGATATTTCATATAAATAATTTATTTTAAACATAGTCAATTCGATTTTTTTATCTGTAGCTTTTAATTTTAAGCTTTTGTATTGCATATGCAGTTTTCTCCTACTCCTACATCGTTATGAAATAGTCTAAATTTTCCTCTAGTGTCTTATAGTTTTGTTTGAACTTACATCTGTAATTCATTTGGATTTGGGGGGCTGTATATATACAATGAAATTGTAGTTTAAGTTTGTTTTCCTCTAGTTGGATAGTTAATTATGTAAGTATTATTTGTTAAAGTGTCTTTCTTTTTCTATTGCATTGAAATGCCATTTTTATGTCTAGGCTAAGACTGATTTATAGAAACATGTAATTTTTCTATATTTCTCAGTCAAAATATTCAATTAAGTACCTGGGGAAAAACAAAAACAATCATCATTATTAAAAAAATAAATGATACCAAGTTGATACTTGTGTATGAACAAGTGCCAGTTTCAAAGGTTAGTATAAGATTACCCAAGGCTAATTATCTAATGTTTCTTCTTTTTAAAGATATATATATATTAAAAAACATGTCTTTTGTCAATATCATATGCAATGATTTCCATGCTAAGCTTTAGAAAGGAAGGAAAGAATTACAGCAAAAACATGGAATGATATAACTTTCTAGTTAAGTAGATTCTTTAAACTATTTTCTACTTCAAAATTAAACTGTTTCAGCCATTGGTTTTTATAAACACACATATGTATATACTAATCACACACACATATATATATATCACACATACATATACAGTGCCTTCTGTTTCTACAGCAATATTTGGGTTCAGATACTAAAACATTAGTTTTATGAACTTTATGTAAGTTTCTTAACTTTTCAGAAATGCACATCAAATAACTTATTGTGCTAAATGTCATTCATAATGTCATCGATAAAATTTCTCTCCACTAATTCTTGTGATTGTACATGTTAGTTGATATACTTAATTGTGCCATTCTTTAAGATTCTTACCATCATCCTTTTGATCAACAAGGAGTTAAGTATGCTGTTTCCTGCTGCATCAATGTGGAGGCAACTGAGTGCTGACAGTCCCACCTAACCAGTCCCAGGACAGGAAATTAGTCTCTGAATGTTTTTCCAAATTGTTTGGCACTACTATTGAAGCAATTGTTTCACCAGTGGAGTGATCACTCTTGGAAGTAACACACACTTAATTGACCCAATATGAAGTAGCAGACCTTTCAAGGAAATCCCTAGAGAAGGATAATTTTCCCGGCAAGTAGAGACCAAGTAATGGCATTTTGTCCATGATTGGGAGACATTTGCCAGGATGAAACTTGGAAGTCGTGAGTTGTGTGAATCTCAGAATAACAGAGTCTAACAGGTATTTGATGATAGTGTAACTATAACTTTTCTGAAAGGGAAAAAATGGGCTTTAGCTAGATCCTGAAATGGCATAGGTATGAATGCTGATATGGTTTCTGAAGAACATCTTTCTAAAAATACTTGGAAGTATTGGCAGGAAATTACATGAAAGTGACTTTCATTTGTTCCTGACATGTTGTCAAAGTAATGAAACTATTTAGAAGCCTACATAATTCATAAGTACCATAGATAATAGAGATTTCAAAGTATTAAATAGAAGAACTTAGCCCTTTGAAAGTGGTAATTGCCAATTTTTTATTTCCAGGATTTTTTCTGTGTTAATAAGATGTGGTATAATGGTAAATATAAAATGAAATTTAAAATTCAGATTTTGTAGGGCTGAATTTTACTGTGATCTAAGAAAAATGATATTTGCATGTTACATTATACCAATGTCATACTTTTTCTCACAGAGATTACTTTTCATGGCTATTCTTTCCAGTTCTTGGTGTTACTTACAGAATATGAAGGAAGAGATCATTTGTGTATGGAAACTTGACTTTGTTTACATAGCCTCCTCAATTTTAGGTAGTGTAAATTTATATTTTTGCCAATCATAACATTCTTTTCCCATCATTTAAATACTTTGTAATTTTCTATAAGTAGCTTCATATGTACCCTTACTTTGTGATTTAACAAATTTGGTACATAGCAATTAGATGTGGCAGGCCATGTTTATATAATAAAGTGTGAACTTAGCACTAATAATAATATCAGAGGATAGAAAAGAGGAGTGTTAGAGTAACCTTTGAAATAATGAGGTTGGCAAAATATTTGGGAATTTTATTGTTAATATGTTTGGCTTGCCCAATATTTGTAATAGAAGTTTCATTTGAGCTCCTATTTTTCCTACAATTTAAGGAAAGCACAAAGAACTCCAGGCATTCTCCCCTCTGCAGGAATTTTATTGAGAGGGATCACTGAGGTCAGAGAAGAGTCATTGTATTGTTTAGAAGGTATTGTACAGAGATTATATAATATGCTTTCTTGCTCACTTTATATCTGCTTCCACTTACTGCCTTTATGGTTAATGTGAAAGGTTGTATGTCTGGCCTTAGAAAAGAAGACAGACTTAGGTGTAGACA